AACAGAATTTCTCCGTAATAAATGTAGCCGAAAATAACATTTGCAATATCAGAAATTTCCTAGTGCTAGAATTTCATATCGTACCAACTCCAAATAGAAAATATTACTTAAAAATTTATTGATAATTGTTTATTTCACAGCATTCCTGCCAGCGATGGTAAATAGTGGTATACATGTCCTGATGTATACTTACTACGGCCTCTCTGTATTTGGGCCAGCCGTGACCCAATATCTCTGGTGGAAGAAATATTTGACTATCTTACAATTGGTACGTATCTAAAACCATTACTTTAAACCAATAATGCTGTTAAATATAAGGCTGCTGCCTCGAATTTTGCGGGCAGCGGGGCGGCGGCGGCTGCGGCGCGGGAGCGGGCGATTGCACCACTCGTTACCCGCCCTCGCGCCGCTGCCACGCCGCTGTTTTCGAGAACCGGTCGATTTGATTTTACGCATAAGATCCTGCCGCTCCCGCGCCGCCGCCGCCGCCGCCCTGCTGCCCGCAAAATTCGAGGCAGCAGCCTTAGAGTATTTGTAGTTAATTGCATATTAAACTGCTGCCTCCTTGCCTTGACCGTAAGAGCTTCAGGCTATTGTTATCATCGTTTTATGGTGCAATGTCCAGTATTTAAGATTAGTAAAAGTTATTTAAAATTTGAATGGTTCCTACATGCATGCGAGATGAAAAATATATACTGTGCAATGAGCTATTAAATAATTGTACATGGTGTTTAAAACCATAAACGTTTTTCTAATTGAAACTAATTTTTATCTTTAGATCCAATTCACTTGCGCTCTTATCCTTGGAATCAATGGCATCAGAACAGGCTGCGAATTTCCTTTGTGGATGCACTACGTCCTCATCATCTACATGATATCTTTCATCGTACTTTTTGGAAACTTCTACATGAAGGCATACATTGCTAAGGTAGGTGCTACGATACGCCTTATGTCTAAGACATCCTAAAATCCTTATCTAACTCCGTAAAGTCCTTGGCAAATAGTCCATCATTATAGAGAATAAGTCTTATGCCTAATTAATTGAATAAGAAATAAACTAAAAGGTTACTGAATATTTTAAAAACTTTCACCTCTAGAAAGAACTACGCCATTAATTAAGTGTACCAAAAGAATAGTTTACGGTTTTATTAGAATTATATTTATTTATTCTTATTATTCTCATCGGGTCATAAGGAACTGTTTATTCTAAATAACCGAGATTTTACACGAAAGAAATAAACTTTATATTTTATCTATCTTCCGATTAGTTTAGCTTATCTGTCATTGATATGATTAAATATTGTAACTTAGAAATAGAACCTAGAAACCAGATAAAACTAGAATATAAACGTCAAGTTTAGAAGATTTAACCAAAAAGCAATAATCATAATCCGTCTACTCGTTTGTAGTTACATCAAGAAATAACTACTTAAACTTTATTGTGGCTACTGTCAGCTAAATATAATAATAATCTTAATAAGCCAATGTGAATCAATGTTCTCTTTATCTACAGACCGCAGAAACCAGTGACACTATTCTATGTCTATACTAATATTATTAAGAGGAAATATTTATTCTGAATCAACTCTAAAACTTTAATACCATTATAATCCGTCATTATTAATAAAAATATTTAAAAAATAAATGCTAAGCCTAGCGAAGAGGACTGGTGGGTACACTCACAATGGCTGCAATGAAAAAGAGACAGTAGCCGCAGTATCATTACGTATATAAAGTTCATATTCGCGAATACGAGATAACTTTCTTTGTTTTATAGTATTTTTGTGCAACGAAGTGTTAAATAAATATCTAATAGTTACGACCGCTGCTTAAGAATGATAACTGAAAAATGATCTTAGATCTTTATTCTAGAATTTCGTCGCTTATTTATCTTATAACCTACGATAATTAAACTTGATATTAAAAAAGGACGACATTAATGTGCCCTATAAATAATCTCGTTTAACTGAGATGCACAAGAGACCGAACAGCGTGATGTAACAACTGACTCGACAACTTTCGCTTTACGTAACGGAAGTGTAACTGCTTGATTGTTTAACTGTTACAAACCTCTTAAAAAGTAAAAGTTACTGTGCATTTTTAATAGACTAATTTGAGGGCTGTCAAAACTAGTTGGAGCGCCTCGACGGTTATATTTATCATTACAAACATTGATGACGCGTGACAAAAACTTTTCACAATTATCTGCGCAAGTTGAATCTAAAAATCTGTATTTAGGAAAATCTTAGCACTAATAATTAATGTAAAAATCCCATATACCGACAAAAGAAGATTGCGGGGACGAGAATAGACAAACACCATACTATAATATTGAACATTACTTAAGTATTTAACACAGTTCACTGTGCACTGTTTCGATTTTGGATAGGGCTTGCAAATATATAATAAAGCGTAGGCAACCCTATTGGATATTTAAACCATTAATTTTAACTTTCTTTTTTTACAGGGAAGCAAATGTATGGAAGTAAGATACGGTCAATGCTTAGACGACGAAGAAACCATTGAAAAAAGAAAATTAAAGAATAACTAAATTTGTATGCGTAATTACTTAGTTTTATTTAATCGTCATATAAGTTTACAGTAGCTTTTATTTTATCTCAAGTATAAAATGTTTAAAATTTTTATTCATATGGTGGCAATACATGATAACAATTTTACCCGCCATGTTCTGTTCTGCGTCTGGAGGCATTCAATTTTACATTTGCGAGAAATATAGCTATTGTAAAGTTATAATTCGGTTTTAAATAAAACCATAAATATTGTATTTAAAATCGTAATTTATTACTTAGATATAAGTTGATTGTTTAAAATAAGATGAATAATTTCGGAATTGTGGTTTCATTATACTCTTAGTTTTATGTATTTCATAATGAAGCATGGCATGATTGACTTTTCATAAAATCCGTATGGGCAGAGTATCAACGTTTACCGATATGGTAAAGTCGGATCTATTGACAAAAATATTTTTTGTATAAACACCTGAAACATATTCACTCTTACTAATAAGATCTTATTTTAGGAAATTTGGCATTAGTTACATATATATAATAATTGTATCACAAGTTTAATCACTCCAATTAAAAACTTAATATAGTAAGGGAAGTGATTAAAACATAATATAGCCTCTAAGGCGCTGACCCGACAATATTTTCATGGTTAGTTTTTATAAAATAAGTCAAATATATCGACTTAAATAGAACCAATAACAATCTATACGAAGAATTTCATATTAGTTATGTAAAGTTGATTTCCTGAACTTGTAAAGTACGCTCTACAATGCTTGATAGAAACTTTTTATTAATCGTATATTGAAGTACTTGCCAACGTATTCGTTGAGTATACTCTTCTACGGATATAATATTCAATAAATTCATACATTATAATTTGTATATCTCGGATATTTTGTTAGATAAATAACATATATTTATTCAAATTTACCACATCATAAATAATACTATATCTACGGTATATGTTACAAGCTCCTTTATATAAAATATGTGACAATTTAGGCAAACATGAATGTTACAAAAAATAAAAAAATAAATAGAATAAAAATACTAATAATGTTTGTTAAGCAGAAAAGAAAGTACCAGAAAATCAGCAGATTAGGTATGAGATTAGGCACATAACAATGTTTGCTTTCCATAAGTTTATTTAAAAAAAAAGCTCTAAAGTAACGGCTCCCACACAAAACTGCGAATTCGCATCGCATCGCAAATATTTGCGAATTCGCACGAACGCACCGTAAGAAGTTCCGATCTGCTTCGCATCGCACATTCTTGCGATTTTACGTCATCCTTGGTGACGCCATTTTAGTCCGCTCTGAGACAGCTTTAGAGAAAGACACGCGGCGCCTCCGCCGCCTTCTTTGTTTATAAAAAATTGCGGAATATGATGTGGATTTTTTAATATTTTTAATTGAGGAGCGTCCCGTCCCTTGGGACACAAGTGATGAACATTACAAAAATAAATTTATCAAGCAAGATGCGTGGAAGAGCGTGTGTGAAAGTTTGGATCAGAGTTTATAATCGTAATAAATGGATGAACCTAGAATCTCCTTTTTCTTTCATATCTATTTAACAATAACATAAGTGCAATTATCTTTTTGCGATCCATCTTACGCGTCCTAAAAACACGCCCAGTACGGCTGACTACGAAGAAATGGTCGCCCTACCAAACGGTTCGTCGCACTAAATCGTATCGCAGAAATTCGCATCGCATCGCAGTTTTGTGTGGGAGTCCTAAGCCCTGTTTAATCCGTTGTAATCGCGAATAATTCAAAAGAGAGTTGCCGATGTAGAAATATTGATACATTAACAAATGTGGGCTTTATTACTGTTATCATTTTGGCGATATTTTTATCTATAATAACATAGGCCTTTGCCTTGTTTTCGGGTGTCATTGAAGCGGCATTTTGGTTTATTGGATCATACTATCAATGAACTGCTAAGAAGCAGAGAATTTTCTCAAAATTTTGGATGACAGCCTCTAGCCTATCATAACAACCAGCCTATGTCCCTCTTCACAGAGCTGATACATAGATGATGCAGGCTGAAGCAAAATTGCCTAGTTCAAGCATCAAGAAGATTCATCAAAAAGTCAACTCTGTTGCTTTGATCTCTGAATAGTTAGTTTAGTTAATAGCAGTATAACTGGGCCCTGCCATCTCACCACGGGCCTATCATCCTCCCAGCATAGATAGCTTACTGAGGCACGATATTACTCCAAGAAGCCTGTAGCTCTAAGCGGATTCTAAGCTTCTGGAAGGAATTGAGCTTGCTTAATTAGCCAGCGAAATTTTCTCCATATTAAAAAAGGAGTCAATACATGTGGCAAATAAAAATACATTGTTTTATGAAGACTTGAAAAACTGACTCAAGGATTCTCGTTACTTTACGATTTCAAACGCTTTAGATTAAAAATATATATAATCTTGATTCTAATGATTGTTAATATATCTATCATTCACTATATCCTGATTACATTTGTTGGCACTGTGCACGAGCCATGTAGGCTACTTTTTGCGCGCGCTGTACAACTTCTGAACATCTCTTTCGGCGGATCATCTTGCAGTCTTGGAAGAAACCCTCGTTCCTCGGGAAACCATTGCTGCCATCACAAAACGTTACCAGACCTAAAATAAAACAAAAGAGTATCAAAATTACTTAAAGCAAGTCATCGTCACAATATTTTCAATTTTGAGTCTTTGGAAAATAAGAAAAATGTATACTGTTTTTAAGATAAACTCAAAGAAAGTATATCGAATGTAGTTTAAATTACAAACTCTGTTAAGTGTTGAAGTATCAGTTAGTCTTCCTAATAATAAAAAGTCTCTTCCTTAATATAAAGAGGACATATTTCGTTTCCCCACGGTAAAGTTTAGATTTACGTTATCAATTAAATTAATAAGTCAAAGTTTCAATGCTCATCTTCGCCATTCCGGTAGATTAATATACTACTTCAAAAACGTTCGTTACTAAACATATAGCATGCTTATTGTAAGTTACCATGTAATCAAAATTAACGCACTAAAAATTTATTAATATAGAGGATAGGCCTTGATGGATGTAATGTTTTATCGAGTTAACGCATTAGTTATTCTTACCAAGTCCCCATACTCGCCCGCCTCTGAACTCTCCTTCAAATTTCATACCATCAGCTCGCCAAAATACTCCATGACCGTGGAACCAGCCTTGCATGAACTCGCCTTCATATCTGCAAATGTAAATTATTATTCTAATTAAAACGTGTTTAACCTAATGTTTATACAATTCAAATTTTGCTTTGTTACTACTAAAATTCTTCAGTTGTTTAGCTATATGACCTGCTGTAGAACATGAACAACAATGCGGCAACTCTATGGACAGTTGAGACTGTTTTTGCCGTGCCACTATGTGGAACCAGCTTGAGTTGACCTGTCTTACTAACGAACTGAAGATATACCCTAGATACTAAAAATAATAAAGTTTATTAAAAGGAAACATTTTTTTTAAATAAGTTCTTCAACGACTTATACCAAGTTAGTATAAAATTAAGCTGAAATATTCTTCTGATATTTGAACAACCGAATTATAATTATTTTAACAACATACTAAACACAGTTTTATTGTTTAATTAATTCACGCATAGATTTAACAAAAGCGTAGCTGTGGTAAAGCTTTGTGAAGGGCATCAGTACCTGCTAAAATTCGAAATATGTTCGCCTCATATTAATGCCGCTCTAGTGCTTTGATAGTACGTTAATCCTAGTACAAAATAAAATATAAACGATCTCGTAAACATGAGCCTGTATCATGTATGTCGCAGTCATGGCTTTGACATCGAATGTTGATTTTTAAAGAAAATTTACACCAATTGACCTAGTCCCATGCTAAGCTGGTAACTTGTGTTAAGCTTGTGTTATGGGTACTAGGCAACGGATATACATACATATTATAGATAAATAGACATACGAGTATAAATACATATTTAAACATCCAAGACCTAAGCACAACACCAAATGCTCATCACATCGATGTTCGTCTCAGCCGGGGATCGAATCCGGGACCCATGGATTCGCAGTCAGGGGTACTAACCACTAGACCAATGAGTCGTCTAAGAAAATGGTTTCACCATATCAAATCTTAACCGTTATTTCTCCATAACAATATACAGTCCACGTTAGCAAAAGAAGCGGTGGATAAACTAAAGTCAAAATCTGAATATATTAAACGTCAGATAAGGCAAAAGACTCTAGAAGTATGGAATGAGCGCTACCTGGAGGGTGAAACAGCAGGAACTACAAAACTATTCATTGGAACTGTTAGAACTGCGTATAATTTTTAATTTATTTATTTTGTAGTGTTCGTATCTTAGAAATTTTGTTTTTGCATGGTGTGCCCCATATTTCGGTTAGGTATGAGAGGTGTGGCTTGACTAAACAATTATGGATCAGATGACGTACAGATTGCGGAATGCTTTTTGATATTGACCAAAATCAGCTTATAAGTGATTTTAGTTTGTAAAAATGTTTTATAAACCATGTTTATACCCGAAATATATAAATATAACAATAAAAATAAAATAGTGTTATGAAAAATAATCAATATAAACTTGCTATATCAGACTATGTCATCAATGCCACATCTAGTAAAAAATCAAATTCGAACATCAGCTGTGTTTTGCTTGGTTCAAGATCAAGTTTATTATGTCTACCCACATTTTTGGTGCTGTTTTGTTTTGTTATTTTATATATGTACCTAGATCGGTGCGCTCTAATTTCTAATTTTTAATATTTTTTCTCAGTAAGTGAATTATGTATGCAACTCTTATGAGAAGTAAAGTTATTGTTAAACCTTATAAATTAATAAAAGAGAAGCATTTCACACCCCAGATGGCGCCAATTCTTACAGGGCAAGGAGCCATTGCACATTACCTTCATAGGTTTAAAATTAGGATAAGCCCAACATGTGCCTGTAGTAATGAAGATCAAACAGTTGGACATGTGCTCCTACATTGCCCTATATTCGCATCGTCCAGACACGACCTGGAGCAACAAATGCAGATGACTGTAGACCGTAACGGCCTACAGGACATGTTATTAAGCACAGACCGTGCCTGGAACGGTTCTTCGAAAAAATTATTAAATATATAAAGGCGGCAAACAAAACTGAAAGCGTGTCTTGCGATTGCGCCCCGGTTCGCCCATGAATATTGTAAATAAAAATATTACCGATGTAGCCGGGGCGCGTATTTAGCGAGAGGCGTAATACACCATTTGTGAAGTAGTTTATTGTAATTAGTATTATATAAATCTTTTATTTTTTTTAATTTGAGAGATAGAAAAGTCCCTGGACACAATGGCAGTAGCAATGGGGAGTAGAGTATTATTAATAAAAAAACAAAAAAGATACTACACATGCTTTAATTAACGTATAAAATATCTATTTCTACGATCGATGATTTATTTGAGACTATACAGAAATAGCCTCAAATAAGTAATTTTTTGGTCAAAGCCTTAAAAATAAGACCACGTTTTAGCACTTTCCAGGTAACTGAACCGCAGCATCACCTACTGACCAGAGAATAGAGAACTATACCCACCAAACCTCTATATTTTATATTTTTGGAATAAATTATTTGTAGCCGGTTATTACAATTTGTAGCAGTAATACTTATTATTTATTCACAATTGACTTTGACAGACAATAACGAGCGAAACAATGTTTAACTGATGTTAAATTTTAGGAGCAAAATAATAAAGCGTTTTCCGAGTACAATTAATAATAGTTTTCATTAAATATTGTTGATGACACCGTTATCTATTGTTTAACTTATAATAATATTATACAAAAAAAAGGGTGCGTATACTTATGTACGCGCGTAATAAGTTATACTTCTTTGGCATTATTAAAAATAGTTTTTGATTGCATGCAAATAATTAATTGCAATTAAATAATTAATCAAAGATAATTAAATATTTATTATTATTCTCTTACATTAAGTGTAACATAAATTCTATTATTATTCGAATGTTGTTTTTAAATTATGTCCAATGCCGTAGCATCTTCCGTGGACAACTTATGTTAATTTTGTGTCACGGTGCGCGCGCATCGTAAAATTTCACTCTCATCAATTTTTCATAACGCGCCTAAAGAAGTATAACTTCAAAAATTTTTTTGTTGCTGGCAAATTTTACTTGTAGAGAGAAAGAATTTAATATGATTCTGAGTTATTGAAGTTTTGATTTGAAAATTCTAACTTATTACTCGTAGTTAGTAGTAAAAAAATGTATTTTTGAAAGGAATCTTAATAAATGTGCTTTCAGTAGCGTAACATTAAAAATATTGATTATCAACGACAAAAGTTTGACAAAAACGGTTACAGGTTTTCCTTCAAAGTTTTCGTATTCTTTTATATACTTAATAAATATACTATAAGGAAGGCGAAGTATTATATCTTCCATATTTTCAATTTCGAGAGACACTATATTTGATAGATGAAGATATACATGAAGATTTGTGTGATTTAAGGGTGATTATTATCACGTAAAAAACTTGACGATAATGGTACATCATAGGGACTAATACGACGGCATCGTGCCTAGAGAAAATACTTAACATAATTCAAAATAATAATTAGTATTAGTTCTATGGTAGTAAGTAGTAACCATATAAGTAAATAAATCATCTAAAATGGTTTTTAAAATCTTGCCAAACAGCCTATTAATTCAACCTTAATCAAAATGTACGAAAATCTTTTATTACTATTGACCAGACTTGGCTTTTAAATCTATTAACTTACTTGGCTCCGTCCGGAAACGACATAACGCCAAGTCCTGAACATAGTCCACTCATCAAAGATCCATCGTATCTGGTACCATCAGGTAGGACCAGATGTCCCATACCGTGTTTTTGGCCCTTGGAATTCCATTCCCCTACATACTTCGTGCCGTCTTCATACTTGTACGCGCCAGTTTTGGCAGCACATGGTTCAGCTGAGGATTGAAAGTTGTAACTAGTATTAATAATTACTCGTAGAAACACAATCATAATATTGAGCCCCAAAAGAAGCAGTCACACGTACATATTATTGACAAAAATTCAAAATAATTTATTCATTAGGTAACAAAATGTACACTTATGAACGTCAATAAAGAAATACATATTAACACACGTTTAATAAATGGTATTTTTTATTCAACGAAGCTAATAATCAAGAAACTCGTAGACGTGCATATCACGAACATATTACCTTATATTTTAGTTATATCAAAATATATTTTGTCATATTGTTTATTTTTAAGTACTTAGTTTTTGATTCTCAAAATAGTCTGATTACCCACAACACAGAAATATAATAGTGTCTTTAAAAAAAATGCAGCTTTAGAAAAAGTTTTATATAATAAGGCTTTTAATTGAAAATGTAAAAAATTATTTGCAAATCTGTATGAAATATGTAAATACCCACATTATCACATCAAATGATCTTACAGAATAAAATCACACTTAAATAATTGCTAAAGCCACTATGTATTTAAATGGAAGCCATTCGTATTATTTTTGTATTCACAAAACATGACATCTATGCCTTCCAAATAGCGAAATGCTAGCAAATATTTAATATCGCAATTAAATAATATAACACGTACCGTCAATCATGGTTGTAGTAGTCACGGTCCTCAAAGTAAAACTGAAGGGATTCCTCTTTCACCTAATCTAATTTATACTTGTAATCTAATTATACTGAGCCAACCTGAAATTCACACATTAACATTTCGTTCAACTGGCGCTAACTGGTTAACGTATATGTTGTTTCTAGATTTGCAAAAAAATATTCAACTAATTTATTTCTCTTCTGGTGAGAGCGTGTATTATACCACCATTCTCAGAACACACGGCAAGTATAAAGGACACACTCCATACACTCTCTTCTATGTATCTTTTATATTCATCGAGAAATTATTTTGTAATTTAAATATTGTTTAAACTTTAAACCCGAGTATTAAAACTACGCGCGGAATTAATGCAATAATATTAGCTTAAATCACCACTAAAGTATGATGGTGTTTTGTAGTTGAATGTCGAGTGTTAGTGCATGTTGTTTTATGGTGTAATGCCCTAAGAATCAGTGTGTTAACTATTTTTTTACGAAAAACGGTAATACATCTTTAAGGAAAAACAACGTTTAATTCTTGTTAACCCAAAATTGAAACTATACTTTTAGAATCTGATTTTATTTAGATTCAAATGTCAAAAACAAACATATTTATTATAAATCAAACAAACTCTCTTCAAATATTAAAGAAGCATAAATATCCAATCTATTGAAAACCATCGACAACCATTTACAAATTTATTTTATCGTAAGCTCTTACACATCGGATCACACAATACGATCGCGAACGCCTTTGACGTTTGGTTTTCCTTTTAAAAAAAAATATTTTTTTTATTTTGGAACTATTCTCTTAATTGCTGCTTTTATATACATCAAAATAACTCCCAACAGCTGACCGACTCACGTGGTTCATATTTGTGCGTGATTTAGGAGCCTTTTGTGGCACCCAATGAGTTTTATTCATAAAAAATAATATATACATTATACATATTTTGGATCTGTAGTAGCTCTATATAGATAAATTCTATGGAGAATGTAGACGAAAACAATTCGATCTGATGCTTTTACACGCTTATTGCCATGGTTTCATTTGACTGCCCTGATTTGTTATTCCTATATCAAACGCACCCTTAATATAAAACAAGGCAAATTCAACAATTTCCTCGGTCTGATAAAAACTATTCAAGCAACTCCGCTATGTACCGAATACCTTCATAATAACACAAATTTTCGGCAAATAGATATAGTCTAGTCGACAAGTTGAAAATGGAACAAAATAGAGATACTGCTCTTAAAATTATGTGCGATAGCTCATTCGAACCGGAATGACGCCTAGAAAAATGTGCTAAAAGCGTGTATTAGCACATAAAAAATTGCAAAAGTTATAGACCATTAAAGATGAAAAAAAATGGAATTTAGTTTTTGCCAATATTTAATAAACTATTAATATTTAAGAAATTTCAAATAAAGATTCTGAAAGAGGAGGAAATTTCCAATAAAAAACTCTCAGCTCCCGGAACTCTATCTCCATTATTTATAACTTTAATTTAACGCTGAAAATAGGTCTGTGCGTGACATTTTTAGGATTCGCGCGTGGCGTCAAAAGCGACTACGGCACATTAATTAATTTATTTAAGGTATTGAATATTTTTTTTAAATTTGAAAAAATTATGGTGTGTTCTGAACACTATAATTAATTTATTCCCGTTGGAAATTTTACTTAAAGTTAATTTTTCAACAAGTTAAATAATTGTTAACTAACGAAATTTTCTCGAACGACCGTCTTAATTGTAAGTGAAAAAAAATGTTTTAATAATGGTCGTAAAAATATTTCGCTTCGTAGAGCCTTTCTTACATACATACTTAACAAGATCGTGCCATAAAAGTTAAAGAAATATTTATACTTTGTTTATAACAATTTTTTACTTAAACAAAAACTTAAAAATCCAAGTAATGTTGTTAAAAAATTTTTTTTTTTCTAAATCATCATATTATCGTTTTTATATTAATACAAGATATTTATTGATTTGCAAAAAAAAATTTCCCTCATTGTTGATAATTTTTTTTAAACAAATTGATTAAATCAATTGTTTTAAAAAAAAATTTCTCAACTTTATTACATTACAAATATTATGATTGTTTAAAAAAAAAATTTCCTTAATAACATATTTTAATTGTTTATAATCGTTTTTTTATATTTCTATTGTTTAAATAATTAGTTAAGAAATTTTTTTTTCTAAAAATCATAATTGACAGTCCTCTATAAAGTAACAAAAAAATTTTTTTTAATCAACAATTCTATTGTTTATTAACTTACCAATTTGTTATAAACAAATGTTCAACTTTTATATTTTTTTTCTAAAACTTCTAAAATTAACAAAAACAAACATATATAACAAAGTCTATAAAAAAAAGAAAAAATTTTTTTAATAAAAGTAATATTCATGATAATCAAAAAATTTAAAAAAATGTTTTTCTATATTTTGTTATATATGGTTGTTTTTGTTAATTTTAGAAGTTTTAGAAAAAAATATAAAAAAGTTGAACATTTGTTTATAACAAATTGGTAAGTTAATAAACAATAGAATTGTTGATTAAAAAAAATTTTTTCTGTTACTTTATAGAGGATTGTGAATTATGATTTTTAGAAAAAAAAAATTTCTTAACTAATTATTTAAACAATAGAAATATAAAAAAAACGATTATAAACAATTAAAATATGTTATTAAGGAAATTTTTTTTTTAAACAATCATAATATTTGTAATGTAATAAAGTTAGAAATTTTTTTTTAAAACAATTGATTTAATCAATTTGTTTAAAAAAAATTATCAACAAATGGCGGGAAATTTTTTTTTGCAAATCAATAAATATCTTGTATTAATATAAAACGATAATATGATGATTTAGAAAAAAAAAAATTTTTAACAACATTACTTGGATTTTTAAGTTTTTGTTTAAGTAAAAAAATTGTTATAAACAAAGTATAAATATTTCTTTAACTTTTATGGCACGATCTTGTTAAGTATGTATGTAAGAAAGGCTCTACGAAGCGAAATATTTTTACGACCATTATTAAAACATTTTTTTCACTTACAATTAAGACGGTCGTTCGAGAAAATTTCGTTAGTTAACAATTATTTAACTTGTTGAAAAATTAACTTTAAGTAAAATTTCCAACGGGAATAAATTAATTATAGTGTTCAGAACACACCATAATTTTTTCAAATTTAAAAAAAAATATTCAATACCTTAAATAAATTAATTAATGTGCCGTAGTCGCTTTTGACGCCACGCGCGAATCCTAAAAATGTCACGCACAGACCTATTTTCAGCGTTAAATTAAAGTTATAAATAATGGAGATAGAGTTCCGGGAGCTGAGAGTTTTTTATTGGAAATTTCCTCCTCTTTCAGAATCTTTATTTGAAATTTCTTAAATATTAATAGTTTATTAAATATTGGCAAAAAACTAAATTCCATTTTTTTTTCATCTTTAATGGTCTATAACTTTTGCAATTTTTTATGTGCTAATACACGCTTTTAGCACATTTTTCTAGGCGTCATTCCGGTTCGAATGAGCTATCGCACATAATTTTAAGAGCAGTATCTCTATTTTGTTCCATTTTCAAATTTTCGGCAAATAGATATTTAATTTCACTAGAAAGAAGATTAAAAATAAGTTTTGTAAGAATCGCTTTGTTAGTGTAGTAACTCTCGTTAATTATAATGAAACAAAGCGTCGTCTTTAATACATGCTTTATAATGAGTGAAATTTGTGTTTTCTTCGTCATTTATATAAAAAAAGTTAATTATTTTAGTAAACCTGTTTTAATATTTTTTCATAATAACTATTGACCACGTTTTATGTCTTAGCTTTAAATATGTATTGCGTTTTGGCCATTTTATATTATGTAAATATTATCATTTTAACTTGTATTTTTTTTGTTTCGAGAAATAAAAAAAGTCGCTTACCGCCGCTTCCACGCTTAGGTCGTTTAAACTGTGCAACATAATGTAATGTGATGTCAATAATATAAATGACTGAAGAGGTATATCTGAAAGTACTAGATGGTATTTCGACTTTATCCACGTATTATGCATTCCCTTGTTTGTCAAACTGAATGGTTCAATCGCACTATAACATATTAACCAAGTCAAAATAGTAGTGTTGGGTAACATAACATCAGGCGTTTCTATCACTATTCGCCTCTTTGCTAAGTAATTTTAATCAGGCGAAATATTCAATCGAAAATAGTTTTTTAGTAATTTTGTACATCAATGACAGACATAATTATACTTAAACATGGATTATATTATTATTTTCTTACATCACAATAATTTTGGTTACATTAATGAAATATACCGATAACAAAGAACATATTTATAAAATCCGAAATTGGATTTTCCTCTCAATGCTTTCAATAGTCATTTAAAAA